AACTGTGTAGCCAACACCTTTATTGAATTCTCTTTTTTGTTTTTCAGATTATTTAGATCTTCACAGTATACAGTGATAAAACCTGAAAATATACCTCTTATTTCTAATTCTTTCTGGTCTAATCCTAGAGGCTAAGAGCAACAGTTCAATGGAAAATAATGGTTGCTAATTGGCATCTTTATTTTGTTCTTGGCTATAATAGATATTCTTTTAGAGATTTACCACCAAATATAATGCCGATATATCACACACACACATATAGAACACTTTTTACATTAAAACACACACACACATATTCACACCAGTACATAAAATGAAATAATATTCAAAACATACTATGCAACAGACTCTGACTGCTGTCAACAAGCACTGAGCAACCAGTCAAATAGTAAACCACCTTATATGCAGTACTAGTATGTACTGGTTTCATATCAGTTCTAGAGATACATGCTGCACACAGTTCAGGAAGTATTAACTTTTTACCAGACATGAATGTTTAATTGTATAATTTAAAACTTTTTGTATGATAGTTTTCTTTATTCATTATATCAATGTGAAAAATCTATCTTTATTCTGTGGAAAAATGTCCATGATGCACTACATCAGTGATAGACTACAATCAGTGATATTCTATTACTGAATTTGCCTCGCTAGGAATTAAATTTTTTCTTTGGGGGTTCTCCTTGTCTCTCTTTTATTTTCTAGTAGAACTCCAATCCAATATTTGGAGCATTTTCAAGCTTCTTTTTTCTGACTTTGTGATTTTTTCCCCAGTAATCTGTAATCTATTAATCATTGAAAAGGATCTTCATACATAGGATCAGGAGAAATCATACAACATTTAGTTATGTTTAAAGAATAATACTCAAATATGAGAAAATATGAATAGTTTTTACAAACTATCTTATTTTTGGCATGAAATAAATCTGTAGTTCTATGATATTTTCCAATCTTTAGAAAGACACTAAAAACATTGTGTGTTCTCCACTGATAAATGTGATAGACTAAAGCACTCTTCAGATTTTGTAGGGTATCTTTGAAATGTGTACTACAGAAGCATCCCCATATTATTGTGTGGTTTATCCAGCTCCTCAGCACATTTTCATATGTCCTTGTTTTCTATAGGGTTGCCTTAGTAACTCTCTAACTAAAGTAATTTTCTGCAGTTTTCTCCAAATACCACTTATGTGATTGCTCAATTTAGTTATCACAGAGGAAGGAAATAATGTAACTAAAACTTTGTTTGCTTCTGATTCCAACAGTTTGGAAACCTTCTAGTGAAAACAGCTAAAGGTGTCAGATATATTAAAAAAGAAATCACATGCCATACTGTAGATGGATGATGGGTATAATTTGTTTTATTTTATTATTCCAGGGAAGGATACACTGATTACATTTAGTCTTTGTGAAATAAAGTGTGCAGGTTACAATTTAAAGGTAACTAATTATCAAATTAGAAAGGAAAGCATGCCTTCTAAAGCAAATAAAAGGGAAAAGGGAAACAAACAGTCCAACAGAAAGGTAGGAAGGAGCATGAGATGATACAAGTCTAATAACTAGGAAATAACCTGCGTACTAAAGAAGTGCAATACATTTAATTTCAAGTTGTATATAATTGGATTTAATTTCTCTGTAAATTAAATAAGCTTCTGTTCCCAACATTTTTCTTAGATTAACAACTAAATTCTAGCATGGCAGAATGCATGAGAACTGGTGATATGGACATCCATTGTCAATGGGAAAGTATCCAACCACACATATAAAGTACTTAGCATGGTGCATGGTACCAAGTGAAAGTTAGCTATTTTATCTCTCTTGAGTTCTGAGGCAATAGTGAAAATTGTGTTATCTATCTCTTTAGTAACTCCTGTGGTGGGTGTGATGACTGACAGTGGTTTGCAGAGTACTGTCCTGTGTTTTTATGGAGGAGAACTCAAGCGGTGTTAGCATAACATGATCTTTGGAAGCACAGGTAAATGTGAAAGAGGGACATTGTTACTGTTTATGTGCATTGATTGTTCATTAACCTGATATATTGATTTCAGATTTCTACTTTATTATTAATAAATCTTTATGGTGGGTGTATATGTTAGTTTTAATCTTTAAAGTACTTTCACTATACATTTCAAGACACATCATACTTAGGAGAAAGAACTCAGTCTATAGTCAGACAAACATATCTGAATAAAGTCTCACTAGCGCTAGTAATTCTGGTCCCACACTTCTGTGTGCCTGTGTTTCTCCTGTAAAATGGTGTCAGAGAAATACTGTTAGGTTCTCCAAGAAGCAGTCATCCTGAGGCAATTTAGCATGCAAGAATTTTATTAGAGAAAATGCCAGTCAGAAACAATGGAGAGCAAGCTGGAGGATGTGGAAGCAGCATCAGATCATGACACACTTAACCCAGAATATAAGTTATTGTTTTATGAGCATAATGTGATATAAATCACATTATTTGAAAATGGTTATACTATTATTTGCTGCTGATGATATGTTTTAAAAGGTATTTATTGAGTACCATGTTCTTAGTAATTTACATATAGTTTCTAATTTTTTTCAGATGAGATGGAGAAATTATGACTAAAGGAGAAAATAAATACATTTTCTAAGATCATGAAACTGATGTTAGAGCCTCCATTGTTATCAAGGGCTGTCTGAATATGAAGCTTTTGCTTTATCTGTTACATCACCCTCCACTTGTTGGCATGTTTAGACAGTCACTAAGTCATAAAAATTACCAGAACTGGTGTATTAAACCGAAACCTCGTCAAATACAGGGCACCTCTGCAAAAATGCTCACCTGAATGTTATTGGAGATACTGGGACATTCCAAATCTTTTCTTCCTTTCATAAATAAACCAGTTAAGGTTTTTAAAAAATTACTTCTAAAAAACTTAGGAGAAATTAAACATTTTTACATGGTATCTTCTCACATGCAACATCTAGAGAAACTGAACATGTTGGTCAATTTTGCACTCAGTATGCAGACAGTAAGAATGGCTCTTCTGTGTTTTGATGCCCTCTTAAACCTTCCCTTAATAGTTTATTGCATCTGATGGGCAATTTGGCTTTGCACCATTTTGCTTGTCACATTGTTTCCCTAATATTAAGTAGCTGAGACTAGAATAGGGCTCAGAGAGGTCCTTTAAAAAAAACTTTGCATTATACTCATGCCCTCCTTTGTCTTGCCTTACAAACTCACTGGGGACAATACAACCAAATGCAAATATTCATTTTTTATTCCTATAGTGTTTATTTTTATGACCAATTAAAGCTAGCTCAATGGAAGTAAAAAAGCAGAAAGAGTGTCAAAAATTGTTCTTTTCTATCTAGATGTAAATAGCTGCTCTGTTAAGAAGTGGGACTACTCCCACTAAAACAAAGAGTGAAGTATATTTTCCTCAAAGTAAAACACTGTGTATGCATGTAAATTTGTGTACTACAGATAATATCCCCTATGAAAGTCTAACCAGGAGGGAAACATGACATACTTTTTAAACAAACTGCCTTTTTTTTTTTGACAGACACTCACACACTTGACTTTGAATAATCTCATTACAGCATTGAATTTAACTAGTATGGTTTGAGAGATGTGAAAATGCAGTTCTCCTATTGTGCCATGTCGTTAGTAACGTCTGATGACATCTCCTAATGTCATGTCCACACTTGAACAGATTTTATTCCTGGTGAAATGTTTGTTTGGTGTTTTAGGAATGTGTTCTTCCTGTAGCTCTTACACAACACTCTCTTAGTTTCTCATGGGATGTGTCTTTTATGGGCAAAATAGTGCATTTTAAATTATCTTATTTGGGGAATTACAGGGTCACTTTTAACTCCTGAATTTTACAGTTCAGCATGAATAGCATCACTAAATGGTACAAAAGAGTTAGAGTGTTATTTTTAATATAAAGTAAATATTTGTCTTCTGAAAAACTCTACTTTATACATGCAGACAGCTCATCTTGTTAAAATAATGAATAAAATGGAAATTAACCCTAAAATCTTCAAAAGAGGAGAAACTGCTTCAATTTAAACTAATCCAGAATACATGGACCTATTAACTTGCTCTTGTAAAAAAACCTCTTAACTCTTTGCTACAATTTATTTTTAGACATTCATTTACATTCTCTAACAAAAAACCTTTCATACTATATGCTGTTTATGGGGAGAAAAACCTTCATGTACCATATGTAGAATTTGACACCTAAGTAACCTTTACTGGTCCAAATGTTTTTTAGATATTAGGTGTCACTTCATTCAGCACTATTTTTTGTAACTAGTCTTTGTAAACTGCACTTTAAATTTTACCTACTGCTCTGAAGTCAGACACACAGCTTTATTAATGAATCAGGAAATGACTTCCAAGTTGAAAGCATTCTATTCTACCTACTATCAAGGCCCTAGAGAATACCCTTTTAGAATAGTATTGGACTGATTTTGGCATCTCTTATCTAAAAATAAAATGGTACATTCACAACTGCACAATTGAATCCAGCTTCCCTTTTTATTCATGAAAATACACATTGAAAATTACTTTACTCCAATTACTCTTAAGGCTAAACTTTTGTTAAATCCTCACAGAAAGATTTACTTTTTTTGTTCCAGTTGACTTTGTCTCCGCATAAGCATAAAATAAACATAAATTTTGTTTCAAAGAAAGCAACTGAAGAAAAAAACATAACCAATGGTTTTGGACAAGTAATGTTACAGGTTGTATAAAAACTGTTAACAGTTGTTTCTAATATATATTGCTGGAACAAAACTGTATTGATATTATATTATCAACCTGCTCTCCCACCCCTCCCAAATAATTTTAAGATTCTTGGAAGCTTGCTTTTTACAGAACTAAACCTTCCTAGATGTTAACACTGAGCATCTTTTCTAGTTATTGCATATTTGTAAGTTCACACAAGGAAGTTTTAAAGTCAAACTTTTTAGCTAACTGATATTTCCAGAATTTTAGTAGACTTTAATAATTTCGAGAGTCTCTCACAAAGATCTTACGGGTCAAGACATGGTCTTTGCCTGAGGGTTGTGTGTTCTTCCTCCTCCTCTTCTTCTCCTTCTTCTTCCTCTTCTTCACCTTCCTCTTCATCGTCACCATCCTCATCATCTGGATAATCCACCAATCTCATTATGGTACTACCAACTGGGCTATCTGTTTCATTAGCAGCACCAGCAGAATGGAAAAAAGTAAATTTATAGTCATCAGAAGATGTCATTTTACAAATATTTACCTTGTCATCATTTTCTTTTTTTTTCATGTCCATAAATTTATCATAAACATCTTGAAAATCATTTTCCAGTGTTGGCATTCTTGCTTCTCCTTCCCCTATATTTCCTTTAAAACAGACTTCTTCCTCCTCCAAGACTTTGGCACTTCTGAAACACAGTTTACTACTTGCCATAGAATTCAAACGCTTCTGTACTTGACTTTTTCGATTTTCCTCTTCTTCATGTTTAAACTTCAGACCTTTGAATATCTGAACATACTCAATCCCTTCAAGTTTTTTGTAAAACTTTTCAACTATATGTGCAGTGAGAGACTTTATATTTTCTGCTCTTATGTATTCAAACAGTGAAAGGACAGCTGAATTCAACATATTGTACCGAGTTCCATTATCCAGAAGGACATTTACAACTGGTTCAAAAAGATTTCCCTTGATGATGTACCTATTATAAATTTCATCTTTAAGGCCAATCATGCTTCTCATAAGACGAAGAGCACATAAGACCAGGAATGTGTGCCTTGATCTCATTAAGATCAAGACATTTCTCAGTAAGTCTTTTCTCAAAATATAGTGTTTAATGTAATATGTGTGATTTTGCACACAAAATGTGAGCATCTCCAAAATTAAGCTAAGCAGATGTGCTGTTTGGTAATTATTGAAGCAATTTTTGTTGTTTTTGTCAGCTCCAAATATATGATCCTCTTCAAATATATCTCTTGAAGTAGCAGCCAAAAGCGGTGCTATGAAGTTATGCATACATCGTTTATAGAAAAAATTTAGGAATGTACTTCTTTCACATTTAGGTGTTATTAACATATTGTCTGGATCAAGTAGGCAACGAAGAAGTTCCATTATAACAACAGCATCTGCTAGCTCAGGATCAGTATCACAGGTCATTTGTTTAATTACTAAATTAATGAGAAGGTTGCCTTTTTCATTCTGCTGGGCTTCCTCTATTGTAAATTCACGGATCATGGATGGACTATGCTCCACTAGGTAAGAAAATATGTCAGTAGCAGCTGACCTTATTTGCGAATCACCCAGGCTCATTACAGTTTTCAGAGTAGGAAGAATTCCCATTTGTGTCAATGTTGTGAATAGCGCATCCTTGCTTTGAGGCTTTAACATCCGACTGAATGTACAGAATTCTTTGAAAAACAGCATCAGTTCAAGTCGTTTATCATTATTAGTAGACTTTGCCTTTAACTGTGTGAAAACTTGAGGCAAAACGTTGTCATCTCTCTGCAGCATGTGGACTATCTCCAACTTGTTGAGGAATATAAAAGTATTAAGGGCAGAGAGACAATTCTCTTCCATCACAAATGATGCAGACAAAAGGATGTCTTGAATATACTGTACCCTGTATGTTTGATGTATTTTTTGCCTAAGTTGACAGGCTGTTATAGGTACAACTTCCTTAAACTTTGCATTTTGGGTCAAGAATTCTCGATGCCTCTTTGGCTGAGGTGAAGCAGGGTCGTATTCAAGGCATCCCACCACATTCATGATACACTCATCAGAAAACATTGTCTTAAGAAGAGGCATCTTGTTGAGGAATAAGATCCCTTTAATAATTGTGTGCAAGTGGTATAAGCCTTCAGTGTATCCTAGCTTCTCACAAGAGTAAAATAGCTGCAGTATTTTTTTAATATAGTTCTCATTTTCCAAGACTGAGGCCACCTTTCTCTTACTGTCAGATGAAGAGAAAGCAGAGATAACAAAGCTAGCAATTTTTTCAAGTTCACTGAGTTCACAGTTAGGCGGGTCACCCATATTATCAGTTTCTAGTGTTTCCTCAGAGACTTCTACATCACTCAAGAGGTCTTGCGTAATACTGACTAAAGAGTCTTTACCTTGAACGCGGCAAATGTCTTCCCAGATTTTCTGACAACCTGCTGCGTCTTGGAAACTCAGTGCCATTCCATGGTTCTCAGCTTCAGACCAAACAATTAAGGTGTCCTTTGGTTTCTGATAGGGTGTGTCTGGCAATATCTTCGACTCCAGAAGTAGTGAGCCGCTGGACTCCGAAGTAACTAATAGAGACACGCCCTGGGATTGTATGTCAACTGAGGTGATATACCCCACGCCCTGATTCTCCCACTGCATGCGGTCATTCAGGGCATAAAGTTTTACAGGGTGACTCTGTTTGTTCGCCATGGCGACCTTGGAATCTTTACCTCAGCACTGCTCTCCGCTAGGGTGTCGTCACACTAACGCTCAGTGATGGCGGTAGCTGTCGCTGTTGTGGATGCTACGGTGGCCGATGAGACTAGTGGGGAGAGTTGCAGAAGATGGCGGCTCAGGGCTCGTAGGAAGAATCTCGGAAGATGGTGGCTTGCAGTCAGGATCTTATCGAGCGCTGGCAGCTCCGGAGGTCAGTAGGGTTTCCCAGAGTCCTGTTACATCTTACTTTCTTTTCTAGCTCCCCGTACTCTTTCCGTTTTGCGTCCCCATACTCTTTCTTAATATGAGCTTTAAAACGGAGACTGTCTCAACCTGCTCACCATTGTCTAGGAAAGCCTAGGTTATGGCAGGATTCGACTCAAAAGGAACGTTATATACATAATAATGCGAGCTGCCACCCAGCTTACATATGGAGGTTTAGGAATTAGAGCTCAGAGAATTGTTTTTCCTTTGATATATTTTGTCTCCCAGCAACATTTTCACTCATCAGGTGTCCAGGGGTGAATATCTTAAACAAAAGCTTAATCATTTATGTCGATGTCCTTATCAAGTCCACACCTGACATTCTATGTTAAAAAGGCTCTCTTCCCCCATCCCAAAAGAAGCAAGAGCAAGTAACCTGTGAACTATTAGCAATAGTCTTAGATCTGTAGTTGGGTCTTGTGCATAAGGCTTGCCCTAAACCTGAATCATTTACTGAAACTTCACTCTGTTCAGCTCACTCTGAAGCTCTCTCTTTTAGAGAAAATGGGAGAAAATGTTTTCGATTTTTTTGTAATCTATAACTACACTCCTCATTCTTAGGAAAGGAATGTGCCAGAAGGAAACAGTTGAAATTAACTGAGTGACTACTGAACGTCACAGATCAGTTGTTTTATTTCTTAATAAATATAGTAACAATAACAGCCACAACAACTAGGCAATAATCCTTGAGTGCTCATTATTATCATAAAGAAAAGTAATATTATAATTGATCAAATATACTTCAATGCTTATATGTTCTACACTGACAAACTTTTATATTTCTTCTTTGTTAATTTTCATAATAACTTAGTGATATAGGGGTATTAAACATCCTTTTAATATCAGAAAACAAATTTAGAGAAGTTAAAATAAATTACTAAAGGTCACACTGCTAGTAAGTTGAAAAACTGATTTGAACATATCTTTTTGATTCCAGAATTGGTTTTCACAGCCACTGAACTATACTATATCCTTCTTTTCTTGGCCTTCTTTACACTTTATTTCACATTCCTTCCATCTATATAATTTGTAATCAACATAAAATTATCAAGAGAAGATGAAAGTCACACACTTCCTCCTTTAGATCCACATCTGTGTGTAGCCAACTGAAAAATAGAAGCTTGTATATGGCAACTCTGTTAAATATAATTTTAATAGTAACGAAGCTGATTTTTGATGTAGCAGCAAGTTCTGCAGTTTTCTTTTAAAAAAATTTTCCTAAAACATTAACCCTATTATTACAAGAGAAAAACTGAGAATTGGGTCATATCAAGCACATTTGGACTTGAAGAGAATCCTATTTGTAACAATCACTTCATTTTACATAGCACTGGAGGTGTGTGACAGTTGTTCATTAGATACAGAAAAACTCCTCCCCACACCACTCTTGCAGTTGTAGCCTCCAGGAGATTATAGCACAAGAAAATTCCTGGGACAGGACAGCTGGGGCACTTAGGAATTGAATGCAAATGACAGTCATTTCACTAAAAAATTCAAATCAATGCCAGGATCATCTGGTTTAGAAACATTTGCAAATTATAAATAATACTTAGACATAAGGATTAACAAATAATTATTACAAAAATTAATATACATACTAGTTTAAAACACCTGGCAAGTTTCAACAGGAGGGAATATGCAAATATGTAATAACAATAATGACATACATGCTAGTGCCCAATTTTTCCTCTGTTGTGGTTATATTAAAGTTTCTATCAGAATCAATTATAGTACTTGTCAATTGTCTGAATCTGCTTTCAGGTTTCATTCTCTGAGAAGCAGTCAGCACAAATTTCTGTGTTCTCGCAATTTTATCACAGGAAACTTCCCCTTAGGCCAGTTAAGGTCTTATTATCTTAGCTAGGTTAACTAGAATTTCTTTAGTCTAAAAGACCTTTAAGTCTGCATTTCTTATTGCTATTCCTGCATTAGATTCTTTCAGTTGCTGTCTTATTTAGTTTGGGAAGTAGACAATGTACCTTTTTGGTTTCATAGTTCTACCTACCTAAGATTATTAGAGAGCAAGGTAATAGGAATTTAAAAATGTCCTATTCCAGGGGCCATGCAATCCCTTCTATAGATATTTTTTTCTGTACAAAAATGCCCTGAGGAAGATATTTTTACTACTATACCAGAGAGGGAAAAGTTGAAACTCCAAAACTGAGTTGAGCATTTGATTCAAACCTCTGCAGAAAATAATGGTGCTAGGATTTCAAAGTAAGCCTTTAGATTTCCAACTTGTTGTTCCCACTGTGCCCTGCTTTCTCTTAGAATATGCATACATTGTTATGGCACATGTTTAAAACAGTATAATTTTTATTTCAACTATCATTGCTATTTGAAGGAAAATAATTGGGACAGGTTCAAAATCAAGATGGGCAGATTTTCTCTTAAGACTCTGGATCTCTGTTCTGTTTTGGATGCCTGTCTCTTTCATGCTTCCTCCCAATGACCTTAGGGTAGTAAGAAGTAATTCTTGATGACTTGGCTCTGCAAATAAATCACTTTAGATAAAAATATGATTCATCTACATTTTATAACTAGTAAGGGCTTAAATTTTATGTTTCTTAGGGTATTTTAGAAGACAACAAAGTACTGAGTCATACATTCTGGAATTTTAGGTATAGGTAACACAAACTACATGTATTTGTGCAGCATATTTAAATATCTAAATATTCTATCTATAAAAAGAGAGAACATAACATATTGGGAAGAGCAAGGTGATTTTTAATTTTATGAAATAGCATGAAAATAGAATTATTCAAATATATCTGCTCTAAAATTTTCAACTTCAAAATCATTAGTGAAAAACACACTGTGTGTTCTCTAGAAGTTCTCCAGGTAACTTAGTTGGTGGAATGTTCCCTTTTTTGGCCACCATCATCTCTGATTTGGAAATCTGTAATAGTCTCCTCTCCTGGCTTCTTTGTTTTCCACCCACTAGTACATTCTCAACACAATAGCCAGAGAAGATTCATTTAAAACATGCCATGTCCTCCTACTTCTGTGCCCCAAACAATTGTATTTGTGCCTTACTCAGAATAAAAGCCAAAGTTTAACTGTGGTTCAGAAGGCCCAACAAATCCTGACTCCCTCAACCTATCTGAGCACTTCACTTAATAGATTTCTCTCTCTCCCTTATTTTGCTCCAGTCACATTAGCCACCTGGCTTTGTTGGAAGCACATCAAGCACCCTTCTGCCTCAGGACCTTTGCAACTTCCCTTTATCCTACCTGGAACACTATTTCTCAATATTGACCTGATTCATGTCCTTACTGAATTCAAAGTAATTCCAATGCCCCCCTTTTCCCAGTGAGACCTCTCTTAACCACTTCTTTTAAGTTGCAGAGACCCTTCATTCCAATCTGTTTTCTTTGCTGTATCCTTTCTTCGTAGCACTTAGCATCATTTGACTATTTTGTATTTCATTTGTTCTGTTTTCTGCAACCAGATTACCAGCTGTATGAGGGCTGTGATTTGCCTGTTCTTCTTTCTCACTGATGTGTGCCAAGCAGTTGTCATAAGACATGATACATAGTGGTTTCTGAACACTCTTTTTTTAAATAAGTATGTAAATGCATACACGTTCTTCACAGGATGGCTTCCAATACTCTATTTATTTATTCCTCTCATGGTTATTGAGTAACCTCCATGACAAGCCCTATATTAAACACTGAGGATAAACCATTGAATTTGACATTTATTCCCAGCCCTCTTCTGGAATAGATAGATAGTTTTAACAGGAGATATTTCTCATTTACAAGATACATCTGACATTACCTCTGCTGCCCTAAACTCACTCTTTTGGATAGCTTTTTCTTTCAAGGAAGCAATATCCTCCTGCTTTATTCTATTAATTGCATGAAAAACTAGATTATTGAATAAACTGGATTTTTTCCATGTTCTGTCAAACATGCCTTCCCTGACTCTGGGTTAAATCTCAGGTAGAAGCTACAGCTAATATTAAAATATGCAGTCCATTTCAAGCTTCTGTTTGTGTCATGTCTTGTCCAAAGCTAGTCCATGGCCAAACCTAGAGTCAAGGGATGGGAAAGCATGTCCCACTTAGAGGGTGAGGAGGATCATAGAAAAATTACATAATAAAGGTTGTAGATAGAAGGAAGGATGAAAATCGTGGATATTAATGCAATATTCCACAATCTTGAATAAGAGAGGTATAAGCCATAACTTCAATGGGCAAAGAGGAACATTTATATGGTCACCCTATACAAAGAACTTTAAAATGTGTGGCTATTTAGAACCGTTTCTTCTCAGTTGAAAACACCATCATCCTGTTCTGTGTGCATTGCATCAGTGCTAGCTGTTATCTTCCCAATCCTCAGAGGTAAGAACTGCTTTATGTATTTTCTTGGATCCATAGGCAATTTCTATTAGCACTAGCACATTCCCCATTGAGTGCTTTGCTTCCTTGGAACCTCCAAAATCTTTTGCTTATACTGTATGAATTTAAAGGAAGAAATAAAAAGGGATAAATGTTCTCTTGACTTCATGTAAATTTTAGACTGTGACTTTCAGTGCCATGATTTCCTCTTTTTCTTCTGTTCAAACCGCTACTTCTAGACGTTTTGTAGTTTTGTTTTCAATTCTTTAATTCATAGATCTCCTTTTCTTCTCTATCCTAATGGATCATATTATTTCCTTTTTCTACCTAAATTTCTAGGAATAATATTATCTGACTACTTACTAATTACCCTACAACCATGTTGTAT